TATGATTGATGATCGACCTGATATTTCATTATTGATTCAATGGCTTGAACCACTTGTTGACTGGCAATCATTTGGCTACTGCTTACCAGGAATAACACAACATGATGGTATCAATAATTGAAGCTGAGAGTTCCAGTGTGAACGATCGAAAGAGGAAATTGTATTCAAAATGGCTCTCTGTTTCTCCTGAGGCAACTTGGAATGATGTCATTACTGCATTGAAGATTAGAAGAGAAAACACTCTTGCACAAAATATCAAAGAAATGATTGAAGGACATCACTCAGTACCTAACATTAGTAATAGAGCTGCTGTGGGTAATACACAGAAAGAAATTAAGTTTAACACAAAAGAAAATGAAGCAGAAGTCTCATGTTCATTGACAGAACTCAACAAATCATTTACTAGTTTAATGACAAAGGTACGAAGAGCTTTTGATAAAAAAGTAGCCTCAGACCCTGAGCTACTAACTGATATAACAAGATGGATTGAAATTTACATGAACTGGAATGACAAGCTAACAAATGCATCTTTAAATGAAACTTTCAATATTATTCATCCATACTATGACTTCATTGACTGCAATTTAATAGTAGATTTAAGTGAAGAGTTTTTGTATGGTGTTACTTTTGGTGAAGAAAAGATAAATATTCTAAGTGAACTACAAAATCACAAGAGAAAGGCCGAGAAGTTCCGATCTTCAAGTACTGTGGCTCATCTTCACAAGTCATTAATGGAAATATATCAGGAGCATGTTCAAGATTTAACTAACATGCCCCATATTATTATACACCTTCAAAATCCATGGTATGGCAACAATATAAATAGTTTAGCTCTTTTAATTAAGCATTTGCTACCAGTGGAACTTGTACAATCGTTGTTTAAACGTATCACAATTCTTAGGGGATCAGTCATTATTAAATACACAGTACTTGATTCTACAGCTGATAGTCTAATAGAATATACTGAAGGAAAGTTACAGTTTATGTGTCTCATTGGTATATTTAGTTTATACATTAATGATCATCCTATCCTTCAAGAAGATGAGAATATGAACTTCACCTTTGAACTAGCTCTCCTTGAGGCAGTCACAGCTGGTAATAATGAAGCAGTAGAGTTTCTCCTTCAACTAGAAACTGTTAATATTGATCATACTAATGAAGAAGGCAAGACAGCACTAATGTTAGCTTGTGAAAGAGGACATGAGGACATTGTACACAGTTTAGTGTCTGCTGGAGCTAATTTTAACATTCAGGACAATAAAGGATGGACTGCACTAATGAGAGCAAGTGAACATAATCACATTTCAATCATTCACATGTTACTACAAGCTAATGCTAATCCTCACCTGACAACATCAAATGGATCAAATGCTTTAATGATTGCTAGTTACTGTGGTAACTATGAAGTAGTTGAGTTATTGATTAGTAAAGGAGTTGATTATAAATATCAACGAGAAGATGGAGTGAATGCTTTTATGATGGCTTGTGAGAAAGGTTACATTCAAATAGTAGAACTGTTGCTGAAGGAACAAGTTGATCCTAATGTTCAAGACAAAGATGGTTGGAATGCTTTTATGTTGGCCTGTCAAAATGACCACATTCAAATAGTTGAACTGCTTTTGAAGGAACAAGTTGATCCTAATGTTAAAAGAAACGATGGGGGAAATGCTTTTATGTCAGCTTGCAAAAATGGACACATTCAAATAGTTGAACTGTTACTGAAGGATAAAGTTGATCCTAATGTTCAAAAAAAGAATGGTTTGAATGCTTTTATATTGGCTTGTCAAAATGGTCACACTCAAATAATTGAAATGTTGCTAAAGGAACAAGTTAATCCTGATGTTGAAAAGAATGATGGATTGAATACTTTTATGCTGGCTTGTGAAAAAGGTCACACTCAAATAGTTGAACTTTTGCTGAAGGAGCAAGTTGATTTTAATCTTCAAAACAAAAGAGGTCATACTGCTTTAATGGTAGCCAGTGCTAATGGACATTATGAAGTAGTTAAGTTATTATTGGAATGGAAAGCTGATCCAACTATTAAATCTAATGAAGGTCACACTGCTTTGTTTTATGCCAAGACTGAGGAAATATCTGTATTACTTCAACAAGTTGATGATGCTATTAGTGTATCTTCATGTACCAGTAGTGTATTGAGTTTAGTCATGTGATGTTAGTAGGCCTAACCAAAGTTAAATATATATTTTTAGATATTATATTGCTAATTTTTGTCAAGTTTGAATATCATAATGAACACACCCTGCATATCGAGCACTGAAAAGAAGCAATTAACGTACAAAAATAATATTAAATATTAATTAATGACTAAAAACAAAACATGGAGTGAATGTATAATTATTTCTTGATGATCAGAAGCAGCAAACACAGCCGGCTGACTCATTGTACCATCCCTAAAAAGAGAGAAGGAAGGAGAGAGAAATAGAAATAGAGAGTAAAAGATCAATTTTATTGAGCATTTTTAAAGAGAAGTAAAATGACTAACATTTCTCACAGAGACTACCATACCATCCTGCTTCACACTTACAAGATCCTAAATGTAATAAAGAGTAAAACCTCATATTTTCATCCACATATTTTTTAGAGTCTGTCTCTCTTTAAATTTTTCCCCGTCTCTTTGTTATACTTTCTGGATTCTTCCCTTGCATTTTCTTACCATTAGTACAAACTCCATTTCCATTACAATCAGTTTCATCACAGTTCAGTAGTTCACATTTCTCCCCACACCATGGAGAGACACAGGGAGTAGACCCCCACCACCACCATCATTACTAGAACTATCAGTGTCATTAGCAACATCATGAACACACAACACTGTTGATACTTTCCTTGGGCATAAGTAAAGCTTCTTATCCTCATGACTAAACATAAATAATAACAATAATAGCAAAAATTGTTAAAATAATAAATATCTTTTTCTTTTTTACAATATTAATGTGTTCATACCAGTAGTCACCAGGATAGTTTACAAGAGTTCCTTCTTCTAGTAAAGTGTTTGATCCACCTCCATCAAGATTAATAGCATTGATGACACCTCTTTTAATAAGAATATCAGCAAATTTAAATAAATTGACTCTATAAGATAAAAATAGAAATACAGTGCAATAAAGAGAGAAAGGACTGTATGAATGAGTATA